AGATTCAGTATGCAGAACTCTAAGAGAGGTACATTACCTTTCAGACAAGGAGTACCGTTATCTAAGGAGTTGTCTCCTAAGACGACTGAGGAGATAGAGTACATAAAGACAGTTCCTTATGCTTCGGCAGTAGGAAGTCTCATGTATGCAATGCTGTGTACTAGGCCTGATATTAGTGTTATGACCCAAGCTGTATTTTTATCTTTTTGGTGTTTTTTGTGTAATTTTAATGTAATTTCTGTAGATGAGAGGAGAAAGGGAGGATAAGGAGAGATTAGGGAAGAAGATGAATTAGAGAGAGAGAATAGTGAGGGAGATGAGTTTGTTGCACAACTGAAAGATGCCTCTTTTCCATTCATTTTCCATGTTAAATAACAAACTGTGGACCTCATTAGCTTTTTCCCCAAGTTGGGTAAAATCCACATTACAATTTCACTTAATAGGAAAACTACAAAATAAGAAAATGAAAATAACATAATGGGTAACACTCCCCAAATTCTGATGCCTCCCACGTCTGCCACGTGTCCTCGGTCAGATCCCTCCTTCAACATTAATCCACGGCTGTGATCTCTCCACATGTTGAATCCCCCATCTCTCTTGCATTTTCGGACAAAGCCCTAACCTGTGCCATTTCTCCCTTCTTCCCAAATTCGATCGACACTTTGCCTTCACCCTGCTCCTCCATAGCCAAAACTTCACCTTCATCCTCTGAATCCATAACATTTCCCCTTCATTTTTTAGATCCTTGACCCCAAGGATCAAAATCCTTAAATTTCTTTTTCAAGTACTTCTCGTCTTCCCAAGAGCAAATACCCATCGATTTATCTCCCCAGCTTACAAGGAACTGTTGCACCTCCTCACGACCCCGTGCAATGGTTCTGCTATCAAGGACCTCAGTCGGTTCTGCCTTGAAATGACCATCTGGACCCAGATCTGGCAGGTTCTGAACAGATAAGTGCCCTTCACTTAATTTCTTTTTTAATAACGAAATATGGAACACTGGGTGGACTTTTGATCCCTCTGGCAGCTCCAGTTTGTAGGCTACTTGACCAATCCTCTCTATCACTTTGTAAGGCCCGAA